ACTTGAAGATGTCTGGACTTCAACTCCCAGAATTCCCCAGCCAGCATTCGCTGGCTGGGGAATTCTGGGAGTTGAAGTCCAGACATCTTCAAGTTGCCAAGGTTGAGAAACACTGTTCTAGTCCAGCCCTCCTCCCCCTGATTCAGGCAGGAAGCCCTACACCACTTCAGACAAATGGTTGTCCAATCTCTTCTTTAAAACTTCCAGTGTTTCACGCTGGTAGCTCATGCTTAACTTGTGGTTGACAAGGATACCCAGATTTGTTTCATAGGCACCACTGCCAAGCAAAATCTTCCAGAGTTTATATTTGAACCTTACCTTTTTTTCCCCTATCAAATGTACAATTTGAAATTACTCCCATTTAAATTAATTTCTTGTTTTTTTTTGCTATGGAATGGATTTCTCTAAGACTCTCAAGAGCCTACCTGGGGGCTTATTGTAGAACACTGGAGGAGGAGCTTTAGCAGAGGGTTCTTCTGATTGGTTACAATCTTCATCTTGTGATTGGCTAAAATAGCCCTCGCTGGTCTGGAAGAGAAAATCAAATGGTTGCATTTGCTTCCCTTTGAAAGATGTTCATAGTGTCTATTCCCAATTTATGAATGCAGAATAACCATCATCTGTGCTTGCCTACTCCCCATCATTACAATTTGCACAAAAGGTTGCTATTCATTAACATGCATTTGAAAACTAGAGAAGGCCCATCTTTTCACAACTCTCATTGTACAACAGTGTTGTAAAAAAAAAAAAACCCACCAAAGATTAATTAATCCGCATGAATGGAACAAACACTATTTAAGCCTGCATAGGAATTCATCCTTCTTTTCATTCATTTACAGGAAAGGAAACTCTAGATATCACTTCTCCAGTAGCAAGGTTAGCAAATACTTCAAGTTCAGAGAAAATGCTACATTTAAGCCCAAACTAACGAAACCTACTAATTTTCTTTGTGTATCATTCTATGCTTCAATCATACCCTGGCCTAATATGATGATGGCCTGGTTTACACAATAAGACAATAGCTGGGTTGTCACCGTGCTCTCAACCACAACAAGCCACTCAAACACATGTGTGAATCCTGTCTGTGAAAGCGTGCCACGGGAAGCCGTGCTATAGTAGCATCACATGTGAGCTTTGGTCTGCTTCCGAAGGCCGGCACAGGGGTTGCAAAGCCTTGTCAGCCTTACCTGCGTGCTCTCCTTTTGGGCAGTCTCCCCATTGGTGAGCAGTTGGGGCTCTTGGTGCACCCCAGAGGCCTCCTGCAGGGCATGCTGGTAGCTGAGCGTCATCTGATGCAGCCCTTCCACAGCAATGATGCTCGCTGGCTCTTCGTCCTGATCTGCATCACAGAAAGTTGCTGGGGGCTCAGGCAGGTCGTTGAAGTTCAAGAGGTTATCTTCAGGGAGGCCTGCAGAAGATGGGGGCTCCGGTGCCCCCGGAGGGGCATCCACCTCAACCAGCATGGGGGCAGGCATGGGAGGCCCATCGCGAAGATCCCACGGGGCTGGGGTGGGAGGTCCACCCTGCTGGAGCTCCCAGGCATCAGGAGGGTTGGGCTCCGCAACGGTGCTGTCGTTCTGCCACAGGTCAAGAATGTTCTCAGAGGGGGGCGCAGGCGGTTGTGAAAAACCAAAGGCTTCCCCCAGGTCTAAAGCATCCTCACTCGGCACAGAGACCGGGGCTGCTGGGAACTGAGGCTCTTCTTTAGGAGGCGGGGCTACTGGGAAGAGAGGGTCTTCTTTGGACTCTGGGAGCATCGCATCTTCAACAGGGTCAGCCCCACTTTGCTGTGGTTCTGTCCAGTCGGGGCCTTGCCAGGCTGCAGCCCCAGGAGGCTCTTCTGCTTTCTCCACTGGTTGTTCTTCACTGGGGGGAGCCCAGTTCGTAGCAGATGCCATGCCTGTCTCTTCATTGCTCGGGCTGGAGGAGTCTGCAAGAGGGAGGAAGCGAGAGGAGGGTGTTTGGAGGGTGGCACAGGGCTGGCCCTCTGTGAACTGGACAGAATGCAAAGATAGCCAACGTCCTGCTAATTGGTCTGGGAACAGAGACAACACTGACTGCGGAGACAGGAGCAGCGCCTACCTTTTAAAGCATCCTGTTGCGTCACCTCATCCAGGGCACGCTCAATCTGCTCACCCACTGGCGTGGAAGCCGTACTGGAGTCACAGGGGCTACTAGCAGAGGCCGAGGCCTTTCTGTGTGTTTCCGTCTGGCTGCCTGTGAATGAGCCACATAGGCACTCAAGAGGGAGCGGACAAGGCAAAAGCCACAAGTCCCTGAGGCCCAGGGCCCCCCAAGTGCATACGGAAAAGATGTGGCACCTTCACTTGAAACCAAAAGAGTCATGTGATCTAACAGCACCTCCAAAAATACACGGTTTTTTTCACAGCCGAGAATAGAAACCCCGGGGTCCTCCCAGCATCTCTCGTTCTCTTCCTCCCAGAACAGTTTCAGCGCAAGGCCATCCTCCCTTTCTTTTCACTCTGACAAGCATGCTGGAAAGTGGAGCAGTGAACCCCCCCCCCTGCACCGCCTGCTTTTGATGGGGCCAGAGAGGACAAAAAGCATAGGCAGCCCCAGAATCATAGAACCACAGAGAAGGGCCCGACTCAAGAAAATGCAAGGCTGCAGCTGCAGGATTTCCTGCAGCCGAGTGACATTTTAAGGTAACAGGCTGTATCCACCTCCCCCCCCCCACCTTTTAGCTGTCTTTGGAAGCACAGCCCACAGCAAGCCATAGGATAAGACAGTTGTGCCAGATTCTCAGGGTCCCCAAACCACATTAAGCCAAGAGGGCCACCCTTGGCTTTTCCCCACCAACACAATCTATACAGGGATCCTCCTCCCCTCCACCCCCGAACAGCCATGCTGTGTGTAAATGCTCTCGGTCTTCACATGCGGGTGCTTTAGCTTCCAGCAAATGAAATTTACATCAAAAGCTTAAACTATGGTTGCCCCAGGTGGTGTCAATACTTTGGCCTGGGAACCAATGGTTGGGTGTAGGAGTGTTCCTGGAGCAACCCATGTGCCGAGATTGCATTAATGGGAAGGGAGGGAGGGCAAATGAATGGAGAAACTCTCCCTGAGGATTGTTACTGTGGAAACCTCATTCAAGACCTCACTCTTCCCAGCACCGTTGCTTTCATCCGAAGCGAGGAGGCGCTGCTTTTCTGGGACAGTGTGATGCTGGGGGACACCCTGCTGGCTTTGACCAGGGTAGCACCTCCCCCTCCCCTCCTTGCTAACATTTTAGAAGCTTCTAAATGCCAAGTTGTTCTGGAGAGCCTTTCCCTGATTTCTGTCAAGGCATCTCAATTTTTTACTCTTTGTAGTTTTGGTTTGGGTGAGATTGTCTTATTGTTTTTAATCGCATCAGTTTTTATGTTTGGTTTTGCCCTTTATGTAAGCCGCTGAAAAGTCCCTGAAATTGCGGCAGAACAGAAATGGTGTCCATAAATAAATCCATGCAGCCAGCCCACAAGCAGGATGCCAAAGGAAGAGCCAATCCCTGAGATTTCGTGAGCCAGACTGTGATGGATAGTCCCTGCATAGTTACTGGCTCCTTTTCCTGCTTTCAGAGGTGAGATGAGATGGGACATGGCAAAATAAATAAATAAATAAAAGCCTCTGGGGGTGGGTGTACCAAAGCCACTTTAGGAGCCACCACTGCAAACCAACTTCCCAAAGCCCAGCCGGGACCTGGCTACCTACATGGGAAGAAGGAAGAGAGGTTTGGTGTGCGGTGGCAAGTGATATAGGGGAAGGGAGTCCGTGGAGGGGAGGAAGAGGAAGAGGAGGAAGAAGGCGGCCCACTGTCAGGTGTCTTTATGAAAGGACAGTGCAGACGACCTGCTGAGAGAAAGACAGACAGACGGACGAAGACAAAGAAAGCAGAAGAGAACAGTCAGTCTTCCCTCCGGCAGCCCACTCCATTACCCACCCCACTTCTCCTGCCACTGGGCGGTCCATACTCAGGTCCGGGGCCAGATAGCAGGGAAAGAAGCCAAAGAGAATGAGAGGACACTGCCAGGGGCAATGCAGGAGGAAATGGGAAGCAAGGTCAGGGACTATGGAACGGCAGGGCCAAGACAGATCAGTGTAAAGGGCTTGAGCAGCTATGTAGGAAGGTGGAGGGAAGAAAAGAGAGAGCCAAGAGGCAGGAGATGTCAGTAGTGATGGGAAATGAATTTGTACTTGAAGTAACTATATCTGGGTCCCCAAAGAGCCAACCAAATATAGACAATATGGAGGTCCAAAATGTAAGGCATAATGCAGAAGATTTCAGAAAGTACGGCTTTGGACTTACTGCAGGTAGGGACAGAAATGGTTGGCCAGCTCTTGGGGTCAACCCAATAGGAGACAGAATAAGTCACAGTAGAGGTGCAGCAAAGGATCAGTAGGCTAACAATGGCTGCCATGAGCTGCCTACCTCCCATTTCTTGCAGCAGCAGCAGCTCAGGAGATTGTAAAATGCATTAAGGCTATTGGCCATCCCAGATCATCAATCTGACTTCATGGGGGAAAAAAACCCTTCAGTTTAGCTCCTCCTCTCAAAGGCTGCATCTGTGTCCTAAGCAGCAGATCTAGCTTGCTTGTGGAAAAGGATACTCTCTGCTGACCTGGCACTTCTTATCCAATTACAGCCTTTGCACACACCCCACTGTCACCCCCCGTCACATTATGCAAAAACTGATTCTCCCAGAAGCCAAGATGGCCTCGCCACTGTCTCCAGGAAGCGACAAAGATCATTTTATTTGGGCATTCGAAACTTAAGTTAAGAGACTTCTCAGGAAACAACAACTGAATGAAAAACTGCTGGTGACCTTCTACCACTGCACCATAGAGAGTATTCTAACTTACTACATATGTGTACGGTTTGCCAATTGCACAGTAACAGAGAGGACAGTGCTCCAGAGGGTGACATCGCTGTCCAGAGGATCATTGGTTATCCTCTCCCCTCCTTGGAAGAGCTTTATAGCTCCCACTGCCTTAAGAAAGTTCAAAATATTCTTAAAGATCCATCTCATCCTGGGTGCCCATTTTTTGAACTATTACCATCTGGCAGCCGGTACAGGACAATAAAAACAAGGACGAATAGGCTGAAAAACAGCTTCTATCCCAGAGCAGTAACTGTATTGAATTCTATTGTATAATGCAATATTAATGCAATATCAGGGGTTTTCAATTCAATTGTATAGAATGTGAAGGATGTGTGCTATGTTTCATTT